TCCTTAGGCACATTCTACATCATCGATCACTTTCCTCTTTGGCCCCATAATCTTGCTGATGCACACTTTCAAGGGAGGCCTAAGGAAAGGAATTCTCAAACTGTTTCTCTATTATGTATAACATGCAGAAGAGACACTGAGTCTTTTTGTTTCCTGGGGAATGCTGGAGGTAAAGCAATAAAAGTCCTCTTTTTGGGAGAATTTTAAGAATGTGAGAAAATGATTCTAGCAAGACACTTCTGATGCTCTGCTCCCCTTTGCTCCTGGTCGTTCAGGGAATGAAATCACTCACTTGGCTTCCTGGTTGGTTCCAGCTCTGCTGGACTCCTGTGGAGAATTCTTTCATGGAGAAATTTCATTGCTTTCCTTTGAGCTTGGTCCAGAAAAATGCTGGAATTGATGATGATCAGAAATCAAGGGACCAACAAGGTAGCTCAGAAGACTAAAGCACCAGCTCAGGCAAGCTTAGGCAAGTGCAGGGACTGCAGTTCGATCCCCAGCACTACATGCTGCACCAGCCCCAGAGTGGGCTGAGCCGAACACAGAGTCTGGGCCTAGTGACCTACACCTGTAATCCCTGTGCTGGGGAGTCTGAAAACAGGAGGATCACTATGAGCCCATACTGCATAGGAAGACCCTGTAACAACCAAATACATTTTTAAAAAAGGAAATCAATATATCCTTATCCTCAGTGAGCCTGTATCAGTTAAAAAGAGGGAAAGCTTACTAGAAGCAAGTAGCTCCCTCTTCCCTGAAAGACACTTGTTTTTCCTACAAGTTCTCTGCCCAAAAGTTTTTGCAATATAACACTAGAAACACCACCAATAAAGCAAAGCCAACATCATTTTTATTACATTTATGGACATCTGCTTTCACTAGACTGTAATTCCTAAAAGGAATGAATACTTCTGACTTATGTTCCTGCCCAAGACTTCAGCCACTCCAAAGATTACCCTAAGAATTTATTCTACATACTTTCAACACAAATGTTTCATGGAAATTTTCAAATTGTACTGACAATATTTAACACTGTATGTAGCTATTTAAATGTCATTGAAATCATATAAGTGCCAAACTAAAATATTTTTGGTAAGCAGTTTGGCTTTTATAGAAATGAATGCTTCTCAATGTTTTTTAATCATGATGAAAGATACATGACGTAAAAATCTATGTTAGCAGTACAATTCAGTGTGATCGTTTATACCTTATGGTAGACTCTGTTGTTATAATATCATCTACAAATGAATCAGTGTTAACATGAGCTCCTGCTAAGAATGAGAATCAGAGTTAATGTGGGTTTCTGCTAAGAAATTCATGCCATTTGGCTAATATGGGTAGATACGATGTACTTTAAACAAAAATTCTGCCTTTACTGTTAAAATACCATTGATGGATCCACTCTGGGTGATTTTGGTCCACAAAGATATAAATAGATCTACCCATTTGTGCAAACAGTGGATACTCAGTAAGTAGTTCTCAGTGAATCATAAGGACTTGGGAGCTGTTAATGTTTTGTACTTAAGCCATTACCAAGTTTAGGTCCTGATTGAACCTGTGCCCAGTATGCCAACACCAGCCATTGCCTGGTGGCTCATGCAGGGCTGAACATGTGAAAGTTAGACTAAATGGATTTTGATGGAATGACAGCCATGCAACTGCAAGGGGCTTCCCCAGGGAGGATACACATACTTGTCCCACATCTCCTGATCCTTTGAATCCTTTGAAAGCCATTTCTGGAAAGTGATGCACCTGACATTTTACTTTCTTTTCTTAGTTCATAGATGTCGACAACTTCCTCACTAATCCACAGGCTCTCAACCTAATGATTGCAGAAAACAAAACCATCGTAGCACCCATGCTGGAGTCTCGGGGGTTGTACTCTAACTTCTGGTGTGGAATCACACCTCAGGTAAGTGATTTGGCTCATGAATGAGATTTAAAAAGGCAGTAAGTAGTAGCTCCCTTACCTTTTTTGTGTTCCTTCCCTTGAAATATATAGGTCACTACAGCAAACCCTTTCAGAAAAAGAGATAAAGTAGAACCCAGTGGGTTCCTGTGTATTGTCAATATATGGTCAAAGGGCAAGCAAGATAGCTCAGCCAACTAAGCACCTGCTTAGGCAAGCGCAGGGACCATTGTGTGATTCCCAGCACCACATGCTGCTACAGCCCCACTTCCAGGCACTCTGAGCGGGCTACCAAGACTGGGAGCGGTGGTGCATGCCCCTAATCCCATCGCTGAGGAGGCTGAGACAGGAGCATCACTATGAGTTCGAGCTGCATAATGAGACTCTATACCAAATACTAAAGAAAAAAAATATATATATATATAGAGAGAGAGAGAGACAGAGAGAGAGATTGGCTAAGAAGCTCAAAATTAACCAGTAAGGCATACTGGGATTTGTATTTTCCCACCCCCAATTCAGGAATTTTAAAAGAAAAAATAATTTTTATCATTATAAAGCTACCATAAAAACACTATAGAAAAACTTAGAAATGGAAACAGTAACACTACTCAACATTCATTTGTATCCCTGTTACTGAAAGAACACCATAAACTTAAATGTTCTTAGTATTTTTATTTTCATTATAGATACACTGACATTTACTTAACCTTTCTCTTAGTTTGAACAACACTGAAGTTGCTTGAAACTTTTAACTATTATAATGATCATAATTAATATAATGTTTTATATTTAAGGTTATTTCCTTGGGATAGCCTCATCAAAGTGGAATTGCTGAGTCAAAGACAATAAGTATGTTGTTGGCCTTAGACATATGTTGCTACACTTATTTCTATAGATTCTAAAAACTGACATGGTAACTCATGTTTTCTTTTTTCTTTGTCTCTCTCTTTTTTTTTTTAATTTTAGGAAAGGGTCTATGGTGTTCAGGGTCTCACTACTAGATTGGACTCGTAGTGATCCACCTGTTTATAGCCTCCCAAGAGCTGGGATTACAGGCATGCTCTACCATGCCCAGTCTCAATTGCCATCTCAGCATGCCCCCAGGGACAGGGCTGGCATGGCAGGCCTGGGAATTGAACCCCCATCCCCTGAGCCTGCTTGCAGGTGCTTTAATCCGCTGAGCTATATGGCTGGCCCATTTTTTTCAAAATCAAGTTAAAAACAGAATTTTAATTTCCTTTTTTTCACATAAAATCTTCAAAGTCTAGAGCCCTGTTGCAGGGAATGGTGATGGCTGTTTACATTTTTCTTCTTTAGTTAATGAAGTAGAGAGCTCAATTAAGCTGATCCATATAATTTAGATGTTCATTTAACTTGTTAAATGTGTTTTCATGGCCGGAGGCCTAAATTTTGTCTCCCTTTTATGTTTGGTTTAGTTTTTCCAAGGAATTAAACTATTAGTGTGGTGATAAATGTTTCATGTCTAGCTTTCTGATGGAGAAAAGAGATACCATTTGCCAAACGCTCCCCTCTACCTTTGGAAATGGAAACGCTGTTTCAGCTAAGGGAAAAGTTAACTAACCTGCAGTATAGCTGCTTGATGATCATTTAGTTACTAAAAACCATGAAAGCTGCTACCAGAGATATTACCAGAATGGTAAGGAGTACCATGATTTTTGTTTTTACAGATTTCAGGCTACTATCATGTCAACTAGTTCATTTATTTATTTTGTATTTTTTAGGGAAGGGTCTATAGGGTGTTCAGAGTCTCACTACTAGATGGGACTCATAGTGATTCCCCTGTTTACAGCCTCCCAAGAGTTGGGATTTCAGGTGCACGCCACCACAGCCAGTCTCAATTGCCCACTCACCCCACCCCGGGGAGGTCAGGGCTAGCATTGCAGGCCCAGGGATTGAACCCCTAGCCCCTGTGCCTGCTTGCAGGTACTTTAATCTGCTGAACTACTTGGCCAGCCCCATGTCAACTAGTTTATGAAATTTCTGATATTTTAATGATAAATGGCTCTAACACACTAGTAGATGAGACATTTTCTCTTTTGTTGGCATTTATTTCCCTTACTTTCAAAAGATTTTGAATGATTTTTATTGTCTATGTCTTTCAGGGAGACACTAAGTTGACATCATAAAGTCCATTGAGCTTCTTGGAAGAAAACGTAATAATAGCTTGGTTTGAGGGCTCAGTTAGTCTGGAATGACTCACATGGCAGAGTCACTCAAGGATTGTTTTAATGAGTTATAGTTTGGCACCAGCAACAAGGGTAGAGGGAGGCTATCCTAGTGACTACAGCCTCTAAGTGTCTATTGTTTTCTTATTTATCTTAATTATTAAAAGAAAATAGGAGAAATGTGCTCATTCATTTTGCACAGTAAAACAATTTGTTCAACTTAGAATCATTACACTACTCCTCATCTACTTTTGGCTTCTAAAGAGGCAGGAACAGAAATGCTTGATGCCTTCATAACCTCAAGGCAGGCCCTCAAGTCCAGAGCCTTTGAACACATCCAAAACAAAATGGCCTTGGTGTTGTCTGCCCAGTGAACAGGAATTGTTATCAATAAAATTTGCCTGGAGAGATAGCTCAGCAGCATGAGCACCTGCCTGGCAAGCACAAGGTCCTCAGTTCAATCCCCAGTACCAAAATTAATTAATTAATTAGTTAAAATTTACATGGGGCAAAGAGACAGCCATCTATCCTGCCTCTCTGCAGGAATCATAGGCACTTTCCTTTTCTCTGTTTCTCTGCTTCCTTCCCTGCATCCTCACTCCCAAGACATTCAGTGATTCACCATTGTCATGAGTTTTTCAAGTTCCTCATTCCAAGACCCTTGTCCTAAGTCTAGAGCTTTCATCTACACGCATCCTCAGACAGCCCTTCAAAGATCCAGGGCTTCTTTTCTCCTGTGGAAGAATGCTCAACAGCCTAAGTGTTAGAAGGAAATAAAGAGCTTAAGTATGAGCTGAGATTGGAAGCTGTAAGAGCATAAAATTGACTAGTGTCATTTCAGTCTTGTTTGTCATCCCTCTACAACATGGTCAGTGTTAGTGTTAACCTAGTCAGGGCACTGTGACATACACAGAAGGACAGTGGGCAGAGGTGGAAGAGGCGGAGTGCAGATGTCGAGTTGTGGATGTGATGCCAGAAATGCACCCATAAAGGAAAGTGTGTGATTAAAGATTACACAAGACCTTACGTGTCCAATATGTGTTGTGCCCTCGTCAAATATGACATTTATTCCACTGAATCCTCTATCAGCTACACTATTTTTAAAAAAATACCTTTTATAGTTTCCACAATCTTTTAAGTATGATTTATTGAGATGCATCATCAACTTTTATGGAGGGTTTGAGCTTTGTTCATAGTAAAGTTATAAGCAGTGGGGCTGAGAAGATAGCTCAGTGGTCTAAGCAACTGCCTGGGAAGCACAAGGTCCTGAATTCAATCCCCGGTGCCTCATGCAGTGCTAGCTCCAGAACCCTGAAGGTGCTGTGCTGGCCCTAAAACTGGGGCGTTCCGGGGAGGCTGAGACAGAAGGCTCAGTATAGAGTCTAAGTCCTACTGAGGTAGTAGGCACAGCCAGGCAGTGTCCCCTGACCACACTGTAAACAGTAAGGTGCTAAGGCGTGATGTGACCTCAGCCAATCTGACTCTAGAATTCTGCTGTAGGGTCTTGGACTATAGAGTCCAAGCTGTGTAGTGAGACCCTGAGCCAAATAAATAAATACATAAAAAGATCTTGGAGATTTTTTTAAAATGTATTTAGTACAGGGTCTACAGCATCTCATTACTCAGATGAGACTTGTAGTGATCCTCCTGCTTTCAGCCTCCTAAGTGCTGGGATTATAGGTGCATGCCACCATGCCCAGTCTCAGTCTCCATCTTGTCTCAGTGCACCCTGGGTATGGGGCCGGCATGGCATGTGGTGCCTGTGATAGAATCCTGGTCCCTGAGCTTTGCCTAAGCAGATGCTATAAAAAGATTTAGAAAAATTAAAAGTCGTAAGCAGTGCACTTAGTGTGTAACCTCCTAAAGCAGACTTCGTACTCCATGAAAGCTATGCCTAGGGCTTTCTTATGTATTAAATCCTCCAATTTCCCTTAGTACCTGGATTACAGCAGGCTGTCAGTGAGTATTTGTTGAATGAACACTTTGGTTTGGAGGGAAAACAAGCCGTGTGATGCCTAAGTTGTTCAAAACCCATGTATTTGAAATCACAAAGGAGACTGATGGTCCTGTGTTACTGTACAAGGAGCAATTGCAAAATGTGAATCCCCAAAAACTATGGAGCAGTTGCAATTCCACTGGAGTATCAAATAAATAAGTGCACTGAAAGAGGCCTTCATTTACCCAAGTAATGTATGCTTAATGACAAATATTTTACATAATGAAACCCAGTCATGTGATAGTAGCCAATATTTGTCGACACTCTCTTGATCTGAGGGATTTGTCCAAGTACTTTACAATTTTGCTCACTGGTTTTTGCAGAAAGTCCTATGGAGTAGGAGTCCATACCATCCCTGTTTGAGAGATGAGGCAGTAGGCCCAGCAAGGCAGTGTCCCCTGATCACACTGTAGACAGTAAGGTGCTGAGGTGTGGTGTGACCTCAGCCAATCTGACTCTAGAACTCTGCTCTCTGCAGCCCTGCTCTGCCACCTCCTAAAATGCACACTTCCTACATAATCGTTAGGCAGCATGTAGTTCACTTTTATGAAATTATGAAGCTAAGAGAAACACTAAAATCAAAGTGATTTCTGATACAAAGACCCTGTAGGTGTTGTCTTATATAGAGATTGCATCTCTTAAACTCATTTGGAAATATTTAGGCCAAGAAAAGGGAATGAGGGTGACTTGGGGGATTTCTTCTAAGTGATGCTGACAGGGAGGAATCAGCCTACTTATGCCTGGGGAGGATGAAGCCCACAGATTGGAGGACACAGCCAACCTATTTGCTCTTTTGCAGGGCTTCTATAAACGGACCCCAGACTACCTTCAGATTAGAGAATGGAAGAGGATGGGCTGCTTCCCTGTCCCCATGGTCCACTCTACCTTCCTAATTGACCTCAGGAAGGAGGCCTCTGACAAGCTGGCCTTCTACCCCCCACACCAGGACTACACGTGGACTTTTGATGACATCATCGTCTTTGCCTTCTCCAGCAGGCAAGCAGGTATTGTTTGTGTGGGGTTGGACTGCCACCACAGAACACTAAAAAGGATTTGCTCCTTTGTTTTGTACTTCTTATTAAAAAAAAAAATCCCAGGAGGGTCTAGTGGCACATGCCTGTAATCCCAGCATTGTGGGAGGTGGAGGCCAGAGGATTGCAAGTATGAACCTAATCTGGGCAGCAATACTATGTCTCAAAAAAGAAAACAAAAACAGGCCTGAGGCTGTAGCTCAGTGAGAAGGTCGTGGATTCAGTCCTGAGGACCACAGTCAATCAGTTCCCACACAGCAGAAGACTACTTCCTTTTCAGGTAGTATCAGAAGCCATGAATTGTCTGCAGTATCTAGACCAGCCCTTGGAGTTGCTGTCCTTATGAGCATTAGTGACCATGAGCCAAGACTGCCCTGCCTCAATCCATTTTCTCTTGATGGACTGCGTTGAGATGACACTGGGACTCATAGGAATCAGACTGCTTCTCTGTGGTACCGAATGCATTGCTGTTGTTAACCATAGGAGTCTCTTTATTAACTAGAAAAGTGTGACCCCAGACTTTGAAAGTGAAAATTTATTTCTTCTTTTAAAATTCTAAGCTGCTATCGTGGCTTCTTGTTCCACAGAGGTTTTAGAGAACTAGGCTCCTTCAGTATTGTTGGGCTGGGGAGATGGTCAGATTCTGCACTGAGATAGCCTCCACGCCATCAGGGCAGGGACAGAGGGAAGGCCTGCTCCATCCCTACAAGGACACTGAGGCTGGAGCAGCACTTCTGTGCTAATCCCCTCTGCCAGAACTTGGGGAGATGACAGCACTCACTGGGCGAGAGGCTCAGAACATCATCTTTATTCTGTGAGACCATGGGCCCCCTTTCTATCCCTCTGCAAGGAGAAGAGCACAGCTATTAGAGGCTGTGAGAAGTCCCTGCCTTCATGTGCATGAAAGGAGAGGCAAAGCTAGACTTAGTCTTTGTGAATCACTGGGACAACGTTTCCAGTGGAATCTGCAGGTCTTGAGAAAGAGAAGCAATAGAAAGGAAAAGGTTTTTTCACCTTTTGCACCTTCACATGAAATCAGGAAGGATACAAATTCACAAAAACAGTTTCATAGAAAGATACATGGCATTACTAAAGCACAGCTTTATTAGAGTAATGTAAACCTTCCAGACAGAAGGTAGAAGCAAAATGTACCACTTATCCACCAGCAAAAATGAGTTTGAAACCAAAATGATGGTGAAATAAACTCACTGTTTTGCCACATAAACTGGGTCAAAACAGATTCCTATGAAGACCCGAAGCAGTGGGGATGTTGCTAGCAGAAAAAAATGTTACTGCAAATTCAATTTACAACTCACAAGTCAGGCCCTAGGTTCCCATTTGTCAGTGGTACATTTGTTAGAAATGCAAGCATTTGGTAGGGATGTGTCAAGTTGATTTTTTTTTCCTCTTGGTTGCCAGAACAGTTTCAATCAATTGGCCAGATGTGGGCATTCTTTAGGCCTGTGTTTTCCAGGGACCAATCAGTCCTCACGTGGGCTGGAGTTCTCACAAAGGTGCTTGTGTCCTCACAGAGGTGCTTGTGTCAACATCAATGGAAACTGCTTCTTGTAGCCTGTTTCATGATCTGCTCTGACTTCTCCAGGAAGGGAAGCAGCATCAGGGCCTTGCTATTCTTTGAAGTTGTGCCAGTCCTTTGGCTTCAGAGTTTGAAGCAAGGATGGTCCAAGTGAGTACTCTATTAACAATGACAACAATGACCTCTGCCTGACAGAGTCTCTTCTGTGGCCACTGAACAAGGTACTATTGTGACCTAGGCGCTAAACTATGAAAATAGATTTTGGAAAACCAATACCCAGATGTCTGGGCTGGAAAAGTGTCACAGACTGAATAGGAATGGTTCAACTCTGTCTTTTGCTTGGCCTGTTCACCAGGACTTTACGCTTTATTGCTCTGACCCATAAGGCCCTTTCCAGGACAGTGAAAACAGGTATGGAGTCACAAAGCTGTTTGATGATTCATCTGGGGAAAGGACAGGAGGAAAAAGAGAAAAGACCAACCCAGGCCAATCAACCTTTTAACCTAGAATTGTATTAGCCTCTGTGCTGGTTGAAGAGTTGAGAATTGTGAAAAAAAAAAAAAATAGCTATCGTGATTGACAGCAGTGAATGCTGTGGACTACATCAGTGTCACAGGCTAACCGGTTGGGAATCAACGCAAGAAATAATCACTGTCATTTGGGGGAAATTGAAGATATTTCCTGACAGTTGTGTGGTTCTGCAGTAGTATTTCACTAATCTCAAAGTATTTCTGGGAGCAGCATGAATGAGCCACCTGTGGTGGCTGTTGAGGCTCTTCCTCTCTTGGGTTCAAAGTAAAGCACTTCCCCTCATCTTTATAAAAGGATGACAGATGACAAATGTCCTTTGAGTCTCACTTTTCTGAAGCTCCCAAGCTGTCTATTACCTATTGTAGCATCGCTGCATAAACATGCAGAAGAAAGCCAAGGGCTGCCTGGGACCACCTAACCTGAGACTTTGGTCCAATGTCTTCCACTCAGATTACAGCCATTACTCAAAAACAGACAGGGGAATCAATGGAACAGAAGGGAGAAAGCAGAAACAACCCCAAGTGCATTCAACAGTCAGCTCTTTGACAAAAGAAACTAAAGGGGCTGGGGAGATAGCTCAGTAGAATAAGCTCTTGCCTGGCAAGTGCAGAGTCCTGAGTTCAATCCCCAGTACCACAAAAAAAAGGAAGAAACTAAAATATGAACTGGAAAAGAGGCAGCCTCTTTAACAAATTGTGATGGGAAAACAGTATCCACAAGCAGAAGATCCAGACCGATATCTCTCACCATGCAATAAACTAAAATAAAAATGGATCAAAGATCTAATTTTTAAACAGAAACTCTTAACCTACTGGAAGGAAAAATAACTAAAACTCTTGAAGACATAGGTATGGGCAAGAACTTTCTGAACAGAACCCCAACTGCACAAGAAATGACATCAAGGATCAACAAATGGGCCCATATTAGATTACAAAGCTCTGCACAGCAAACAAAACAACCAACAGTGTGAATCTACAGAATGGGAAAAAAAATGTTTGCTATTTGTTCCTTAGACAGAGGACTAATAATATAAAGAACTAAAAAAATAGGCCTTCCTCAAATAAAATAATCACAAAGTAGGCAACTGAAATGAATAGGCCCTTCTCAGAAGAAGTACAAACGGCTAATAAATACATGAAAAAAATGTTCAACATTTCTAACCTTCTCTCCTTTCATACAACACTCAACATTTCTGACCTAATAGAAAATGCAAACTGAAACCAAACTAGGATTCCATCTTACTCCAGAAAGAATGTTGGTTATGAAGAAATCAAACAATAGTGAATGTTAGAGAGACTGCAGGGGAAAAGGAACCTTTTTATGTATGTTGTTGGCAAGAATGTAAACTAGTATAACAGTATAACCACATAGAAATCAATATGCAGATTCCTCAAAAACCTAAAAACAGAAATTTCATTTGACCCAGGCATTCTCCTATCTCCCTGAAAGAGTTAAAGATATATTACAGTGACACATGCATACCCATGTTTGTAGAAGTACAATTCAATATAGCTAAATCGCTAAATCTTGGAAGTGGCCTATACATCAATCAATGAGAGAATGGTAAAACATATGGCATTTATATACAATTATGTATATATACTCTGCCATAAAGAAGGGTAAACTTGAGTCATTCGTAGGAAAATGGATATGCTTTGAGACCATAATGTTATATAAAATGAATCAGACACACAAGCTTAAATATCACATGGTTTTTCATATATGAGAAATCCCAAATGTAAATTAAGAGAAAAATAAAAGACAGATAATGGGAAATAGAGAGATAAATCTTTTTCAAAATGGAAAGGAACCATGAGATGCAGGGAGGGGAGAGGGAGGGAAAGAGGAGAAAAAAAAGCATCAGGATGTGTTATGTGTATGTTATGTGTGTGCACCCCCTCCTCACAAGGAGCGTAGTCTTGTTTTGTTTTTTTCAGTACCGGGAATTGAACTCAGGAAGGGAGCATAGTCTTTATGCACGTGTATGGTGCTAATAAAAATAAATATAGAAAATGATTAAGGCTATTACAACATATCAGTGATGAGAAAGAGACAATCCAAGAGTTCTAGTGTGCTGGACTCGGAAGCCCATCAGATCAAGAAGAGAGCACAAGGTCATAAGCAAATCTCTGTGGCAATAATGAAGCCAGTGGCAAGAAACTGCCTCCCATGTGGCCAGGGGTCTGGGCTCTGTGTCGGGGCTACAGGAACGCTCCTTGGCCAGACCTTTTACACATATCTACTGTGAGCCAAAGAGGCAGGAACAGAAAGTGATGCCATAATGGGCAAGCAGTCCTGCACCCAGGACATCACTGGTGATGATCAGAAGAACCTCTTTTTGGGCATTGTGCAGGGATTCATGTCCCCAGTGATAACTTCTGAATTCCGAAAGGGTGAAAGCCCTTGGCATTGGCCATCAGAGACAAAGATTTGGCTTAATGACTTACCATGAGGCCTTGGACAAGTCATAGCCTTTTCTTATTTGTTTGTCATCATAGGTAGAGATCATTACATTGACCTGTGGTGTTAAGGAGCCACATGAGTGCAAGAGAATATATGATATCCAGCTAAGCCTTTCAATTATATCATTCAGTTCTCTTTTTCAAGGGAACTGTTGTTTATCACAGAGGCAGCTTTCACTGAATGTAACAGATTCCTTCCCAAACTTTATCTAATTAACTATACATTTCCTTTTTAAATTTTTTATGGCCATAAATTACTCATGAGCTGAATAGTTCCAGCAGTTCCCTAAGGTTTATTTAAAATTAAACCATTTCCTGTGCATCAGCCCGAAAGCATTTCTCTCTTCCACAAGATAATCACTTTTACCTCTTTGGATATTAGATTTTTCATGTCCATTAAGATTTGCTTTATATAGTTCGGTGCTCCCGTGTTTGGTGCATACATATTTATGAGTGTTACCTCTTCCTCTTGAATTTTTCCCCTAACCAGTATATAGTGG